AAAATTTTGCGGACGTGTTGCATTACTTGTTGATAAGATGGGTTTATTCTTTATAACAGAACAACCACATCCATCAAAACTTTGGGAAGAATCCGAATGGCAAGAAGTATTAAAATTGTCTACTACTGTCAGCATCGTGATTCACCAATGTATGACAGGCCAAAAGGGCCCTGATGGAGGACCAGCGAAGAAACCCACAAGATTCATCGCCAATCATAGGGCTCTCTTAGAACCATTGACTAAGTATGTTTGTGATGGAAGTCATGAACATGAATTACTCGAAGGAGGAAAAGCTAGTCATTGTAAACTGTGGACATGGAAACTAGCTACATCTATAGTAGACGGAATAACCAACCTTCGAGAACTGGTCAACTCCAGAGAGTATGCCTATCCAACTATCGGCACGAGCACTGATGCATCCGAGCCAAGCAGTGAACCCGTTGATGATCCAGATAAGAGACCAGCAGTTTGTCCAGGATGTAAAGGACATCTAAATAGGAATGATCCACGGCACGCTCGTGACCCTGACACATGTAAATATCCTTTAGATGCCCCCGTAATATGGACATGCCCTGGATGTAAGAAAATGAAACCTGCTGGTGACAGTTCACATACTTATGCCCAAGGTGAGTGCAAACACATGACCATAGCTCACCGTAAGGGCATTCATCGAAAAGGCCATCATCCCAGAGAACGAGCCAAGCGGGCTGATGAACTTCCGGTTCAAGACTCTCAGGCCCAACTGCCTGATGGAACCGATTTGGGAGCCGGTGAAGGAGCTGCCAGTAGTTCAGCCGTAGGGGCAGCACCTCCAGTAGAAGATAGGATTGTCCCCTACAATCCAGATGACGGCGAACCCGCCGAGAGCAGACTCCGAGGCCCTTATCGAAAGTTCCGGGATGCGGCCGCAGGCAGTGAACATCCATCTGACTGGTCTAGATTTGATGTCACTCATAGTCTAAAAGACTTGAGAAGCAGTCATGAACCAACAATTATTCGAACACTCAGGAAGCTGCATTTAAGATGGTGGCATGCAGGCCCCACCAACATGACTAGCGTTTTAAGAAATGCAGGCATACCTGAAGAAGTCATAAGCTACATTCCTGACATCATTTCAACCTGCCGTGAATGCCGCAAATGGGCACCAAAAGCCAAAGATACTCAACCCTCTGTTTCTTTGGCCATGAACTTTAACGAAGTGGTAGAAACCGATCTGATGTTCTATCGAGAATTTGTTGTACATCACTTTATTTGCAGAGCGACAAGATGGCATGTTGCTGTGGAAACTCCCAACAAAACAGAAGACCAATTAATCACGAACTTCCACACAGCATGGGTATCCATCTTTGGCCCACCTCAACAGCTTGTCACCGACAGTGAAGCTGGTTTGACTTCATCCAGCGCTGAAGCAAGATTGAAGCGTATGGGTGTAGTCTTAAAGGTAAGAGGCAAGGATCAACACGCTCGGTACATCGAGAGGAGAGGAGCGATCTTAAGACATGCAATGCACGTGATGGAATCCCAAGCCATAAGAGAAGGTATTGACATCAACTTCCCATCATTACTTGCCAATAGCGTCTTTATGGGTAACGCACTAACACATGTAGGAGGAGTTACACCCTACCAGGTAGTGATGGGAAGACAACCAGCTTGCCTTCCGCCAATCACAGACAACGCCGGCTTGGAAGAGAGAGTTGATGCCCGCATCCGCGAACTTGCATTGCAGTCTATGGTGTCAGCCACGAGTGCATCTCGTATCAAAAGAGCTTTGGGGTCCAAAACTGCCTTGTCGGGAGAAAACCGTTTTGCAAAAGGAGACTTGGTAGAGTTATACCGAACGCCCCCGAGCAAAGACATGAGTGGCTGGACCGGTCCATATGAAGTCGTAGAGTGTGTAGCCGCAGATGGCATTGTAGCTCTTAAAATAAATGGACAGACCAGACCATATCGCCTCCAAGATGTACGCCCAGCACAATACTATGCAACAGTTTCTCTTTATGGACACACCAATGCGGATATCTGTTTGAATGCCATGGAATACATCCATCAATTTTTGAATGAACTCCCTGATGGCCGTGTTGAAGTTTTTGGGTATGTAAATGACAGACTGACAAGAACCACCAAGCGATGGCCCAAAATTTCAAAAGCACTAGAGTTCATCATAGCAAATTCCCTCCAGATGGATGATATCTGCACTGTAAGAATTGGACATAAAATCAAACAGCTGCAAGATCTGGACGACAGATACCGCAATGTGATTTTCAATTGGAACATGAACAACCCAGACGCAATGCTCATACATGTTGCTGATCATCCGAGACAAAACATCAACAAAATCTTTGGTCCACAGGAGTCCTTCGTCGCAACAATGCAGTGTTTTATGCTAGACAGAGATGTCGGAATGACACTTGATGATTTTGAGGAGAAAGTGCTGGACCGTCCGTCGGCGATGGCGCATCTCGATCGAGAGATCGAGGTGGGTCGTAGTGATGGGCGGCTCAGTACGATCGCCGAGGAATCACAAGTTAGCATTGACTCTCCAGAGGTTGAAGCATTGTATTTGCAACACTTCGAAGGTGCTCCCAAAGAAATCCAAAGTGACCTCAAGGAGCTGTGCTGGGTAGTTCTCAACGAACCAGTAGATGAAGTATCAGATGTGGAGATTAAAGATGATTGGTGTTATTTTTCAAGTCCAGACAGCCATAATGATTGGGATTCAATACCACCAACAGTTAGTCCAAATTTCGACGAGTATGATCACACTTTTGAGTTTGATGAAAATGATGAACCATTCCTTGAAGTGTTGATCTCAGAGAACATCACTGAATGCTTCCAAGACAGTCGCGATGTGTCTAAACCCAATTTAATGAAAGTATTCCTTAATGCAGAAGCCAAGAAAGAGGTCATCGAGAGAGATACTGACTTGCTCACAACTAAGGAATTAATTGACCATCGCAAAGAAGTTTATGAAGCAACAGTTAAGGAGTATGAAACCTGGCATAAATATGGTTGTTTTGAACGAATCCCCAAAAAAAAGTGTAAGGTTCTGATCGACGCCAAGCTAGTTTCTAAGTGGAAGTATGTAGACGGGAAGCGCATCATCAGGATGCGATTGGCCTTGCGAGGGTTCAAGGAACCGCAAACCGAAGATGAAGTGAACTTCTCGGCCACTGCGCAAAGAACATCCCAAAAGATTCTAGCCAGTGAAGCAGCCTGCCACAAAGATTGGAGCTTTGTCGCTGTGGACATAAGTAAAGCATTTCTTCAAGGGCTTACATTTTCCGAGATGAACAAGTTGACTGGAGAGCCCGAGAAACACATAAGCTTTACCGTCCCGGCAGGAACAGCCAAACATCTCAGACGGATCCCAGGATATGAAGATTTTGATGAGCGAACGGAAGCTCTCAAATGCTTGAAGCCTGGCACTGGCTGTAGAGACGCTCCCAGAGCATTCAACTTGAGGCTAATCAACATCCTCAAGGAATTAGGGTTCCGAGCATCTTTGTATGACCCCCAATTGTTAATGTTACATAAGAAAGAAACCCTAGTCTTAGCCATAACCGTTCATGTAGATGATATTAAAATGGCAGGTATGAAATCAGAAATAGACTCATTGGTTAAAACCCTGGAAAGGCACTTTGGGAAATTGACTTATCAAGAAAGTGAATTTACAAACTGTGGTATATGTCATAAAAGACTCCCAGATGGAACCATCACTCTTGATCAGACAGAATACCTTAGTGCATTAAAACCTATAAACCCAAAACACTATGCCAATCTCCAGAAGGACGCACAATGCCCCGAGCATCTCAGAGCGCTGTATTGGAGCCTGTTAGGGGCCGTTGCCTATTCCGCCCTAACACAGGCGTGGGTCTTAGTCTACATAATTTCCCTCCAACGTGTAACTCAGAACCCCACTGTTACACATGTCAAAAGACTGAATGCACTCACCCGAGAGCTTCAACGTCGTCCCCAGAGATTAGAGTATAGCTCAATGACTTGTAGCAGGGTGGTTGAGCTATACTCTGATTCAGCATTCTCAAGAGAAAATGATAAGGGATACGCTTTGAGAGGTGCAGTATATCTTCGAATGGGCACTGATGTGAGAGGAGTAAAGAGATGCCATTTGATTGAGGCCGTTTCTCAATCTCATAAGCTCGTGGTGCGCAGCACATTCGCCGCTGAGCTGTTGGCACTCACGGCATCCGTTGATCAAAGTTTTATAATTATAACTACCCTCCATGAAATATGTTTCGGACCCCTTAGCCCCCAATCCAGCATAAATTTAAGAGAAAATGGTGGTTACCTTATCGAACTTTATGTCTGGATAGACGCCAGGTCCGTTTTCAGTGCGGTGGAAAATGAAAATTTCAAATACCCAACGGAAAAGTCACTACTCTCTCATATCTCATGGATCAAACAGTTGACCACCTCGAAGATCATCAGCATTTTAGGTTGGGTCGACACACGCGACATGATAGCCGATGGAATGACTAAAGGTTCCATCGATCGGTCGCAGCTAATTAATGCAATGAAGGGGTACGTACGAAGACTACACCCCGCTGAATTCATGAAGACCAGAGGGACACGTCCTCTGGCGAGCACAGATACTGAAGTTTGAGCTCGAGCCAGTTACAACATCTTACCAACTTACAGGAGAACACCCGACTTGAAAGGTACATGATCTACCATGCCTCAGGTACATTGTTGTCCATGTAACTGTTCTGGCTCTAGAGCTCGACCTAGGTAAACACAAGACTTCGTCACAAGCGGACAGAGGAAAACAGACATTTGCGGAAACAGTACTTCTTTGTCACTTTAGTTCCTCTATTTTTCGAGTTATAACACTACAGAATTATATATAATTATATAACTACAACTGACATGAAGTGGCTATATCCTATTAAAAATGATGAAAACATCCATTTCTTGGTTAACTCCATTGGTTAACCATCCCCATCTCTAGGGGTCACAAGTCTCATTTCAGCGTGATCGGCGAGGAGCTCAAGATGGGTGCAGCTGGGGCTCGCAGCCAGCCGAGGCCTCAGAGCTAGCATTTTTTGTTTCTCAATGATGCACAATGGTAATAAACATGATAGTGCATATTGATTGTGTGTATATATATATGATACATATATAAAATGTATGATATAGAACTTAGGATCATATTCAATGATATTCAATGTACATGTATGGCATGTATGGACGCAGTAGGAAGCAATCTGGTTTCTGGTTGATGTCCCTTTCAATCCTGCTGTGCCTCGACACCTTCGAGTTGATCTAAGGCTCAAGAACTCTCCGGGCACGCCCTGGTCAGGCCGCGGAACGTTTGTCTCACAGGGGATACCCCCAACTTATTCCAATTTAAGGAGTTTTCTGGGGAAAACGATAGCAAATCAATGTCTGTATGCAAAGCGGATCCATTCTTCCATGTCTATATGTAAAGTATATATATATATGTATGTGTGTGTATATATATATATATACACACACGCAAACCATGGGATTTATGCAGACAATTGCAGATGTGAGAACTCAACAGGATCTGGGTCGACTGGCAGCACATCAGCTGCAAGCCCATCGGACAGTCCGGGGTGCCCGGTCGGACTCTTTTTAGAGACATATATATATATATATGATGGACCCAGCAAATGTCAAGCCAGGTTTGCTCGATTTTCACTGATTTTTGATGTATTCAGCAATTGATCGATGCATTTTGTGTTCATTTGTCCAGTGATCCTGCCGATCCTCACACTCGCTCGATTTTTATCAGCATCTATGCCACTTCCGTCTGTTTGTCCTTGCATATGTATTGCGACCTCGGTGAATTGGATCCCTTGACCAAGGCAACCTCTCAGAATTGAGTGATTCTGAGGATGACAGGACATTTTGTAACATGACCCGTTGATTACGTAGATACCGTAGATTGTTAGAGAATTCTTGTGCCTGCAAGTCATCGCGGCCATCTGCCAAGCTGCAAGTTGTGTAACCAGGTCACGATCATGAACGTGGTGAACTAGATAACTCGATAAGCTCCGTCACAAAAAACGGCATCACAAACCTTTGGGATGTTTAGTAAATAAGGGGATTAGCTTTTCGCATACTGCGATTGTACGACTCCTTTTTCGGAAGCGATGGCGTGCCAGGAGCCCTGAAAGCAGCGATTGTGAGGATGACTCCCGGCCATTGGTGCCGACACCGAGTCACGACCACCGCCCACCAGCTGCTCAGCTAACATCAGCGACCCCTGTTTTCCTAACGAAGGGAGAGTTCGGAAGGCGGAAAACAATGGAAAACATCCAAACAACTCCAACTAGCGCTACAATGACACCCAAAAACTTAAACCAAAAGTAAAGAAACCTTAAAACAAAATCAAACAAGCACCAAACCAACAAAAAATCGGCACTATATATAACACAAACGTTACACAAAGAAACACCAAAACAACCATAAATAAACCCTCAGCAAAGCTGAAATAGGCCATGAAATTAAACCCTAAACCAGCACTACGTGCTACATAACAAAAATCGAAATAGACTTTTAAAACTACCCCTAAACAAAGTCTAAACCAACATTCAATAGACCCTAAAACAATCGGAAAGAATCACCAAACCAGCACTAAATTCGCACTACAACAACTTTAAATCGTCACCAAACAATCACCAAGCCAACCCCAAATCAACACAATATAACACAAGCCGAAGTACACCCTAAAAGAAACCCTAAAGAAAACCTAAAGCAACCAAATCTAAACCGTAAAACAATTAAAAAACATACGCCCAAACTAATCGTACAGAAACCCCAAAATCAACCAGAAATAATCTCCAAATACACCCTAAACCAACCTGAAATAGATCTTAAAACATCTTCAAACCAACTCTAGACAACATGTTGCAAATACCACGAAATACTGCAGATAATCCCCTGCGTAGTACAGATGCTGGCTCCAAGATGCTGCGAGCACGGTGCAAACAAGGGATTCAAGGCCAAACGCTTTAAATACCATGCAAATTGCATATTTAATTCCAAAACCTGCACATACTGTACAAATAAGAGATGTGAGCTGCAAATAAAGCTCAAAGATTCAAGGCCAAACCGCTTTAAATGCCATGCAAATTGCATGTTTAAGTTCCAAAACCCTGTAATATATATTGTACAAATAAGAGATTTCAGCTACACAAAATGCTCAAAGTACAGATTCTTAAGTTTTTTTTTCCAGTGTCTACCCTCTTCAAACTACTCAAACTCCAAGTTTTGCTCCCAGGTGGTGGACAGTTATGATGTGGTGGAGGCATGGATGTTTGATGATTTTTTAATCTCTCCCACCTGAGATTTCCGTCAGGCTGTGAAGCATTTTGCTTCGCAGCGGACAGCTGATCCCAAGGAGCAGCAAACGGAGGTGGGAAACCGCCCAACAATTCCATGCTCTCGATATGCAGAGATGAACAAAAAAACTTGACCCGGTATATAACCGTAAGAAAGCTCTGATGTTTATCTATCCCTGTATCATCCATCGGATTTAGAGCAATCTATGCAGCTGAAAGGATAAGTTGACGGAAATCCAGATCAAGGAGAGCCAGGCTGGAGGAGTCTTAGACTGGCGGTAGTTGGTTTTGTCTACAATTTTGATATATTCTGGAGATATTCTGGAGATATTCTGGGGGGCCATCAAAAATTTGACCCCAAAGTCCCCCCAATGGCCATACCTGCTGGCGTCGAGTTGAAATGCTGGTCATATCAGCCATCCCAGATGAAGCAACTTCGAAGCTCATCGAAGAATATGCACTTTAAGCAGGGACTCCTGGGACGTGAGATGTTCAAACCAGCTGATAGAAGATGAACACTGATTCTGATGATTTTGAATTTGATTTCTGTTTTGCTCTGGACCATTGATGATCCATATAGTGGGTTTCAATCATGAACTATGAAGACCTACTTCCTAGGCCAGAGGTTCGCGCTCACTATGCGAAAATCTGCAAGGAGATCGAGAACGAGGTTCGGCCTCACGTGCATGATATTTTGATTCCGAACTTATTGAAAGGATATTTGTCTGAAAATAGGGTACCCCCAGTTCCAATGGAGTATCATCATTATCCCATTTATATATATACACATATGTATACACACATACAAACAGGGGGATACCGGATACTGTATCTCATGTTCACCCATATATGATGAGATAACAAATATTCGTCATTTTTTTCACTGTCTTGCAGTGGAAAGCGCTTTAGAAGAACTGTGGCACTCCTATGAGGAGATGGGAACAGCCCTTGCCCATGCTGTGATGCAGGTAGCCACCATTGAGGCATCTTTGTCGATGCTCAAGTAGGCCACATAGGGTGATGTGGACCACACGCCAGACGTTTTTTTGGACTTTTTGCCAATTCTGTCTCACGAGAACATGCAACTTCAACAATCAATCTTGGCTCATTGTGTTGGACTCAGAGGGATGCATACTTTTGGATCAGGGTAAACTGTAAAACTGTATAACATATACGGTTGTTCGGTTCCCCCGACATGGCAATCAGAGACATGTTCCTTCATGACAGATTGCTGGGATGTTCGAAGTCAAAGGCAGGTTGATTTTTGGACACAGCTGGACAGTTTGATCTCGATTGCCACTTCTTGACACCAAAGGGTAATGTTTTGTGTTTCTAAATGCTCAAATCCAGAACTTGTCCCATTCGTTGATTAGACAAGCCAACTACTGACCAAGCACGGTAGCAGGGAGTAGCCATTGTCCATGTACTTCCCAACCACGAAAGGCCCTCTTGACTTGGGCGTCAAGTGTTCGCCAGGTGGGCAGACTGAGTAGACTGAGTGCGTCGAAGCAGGTCACCGATTGGTGCTTTCCCATTCCAGCCGAGCATAAATACTCTCAATGTCGCCTTGCCTAGAACTATAGTAACTTCATGTAACTTCAGTGCATGTGCAGTCGTAGAAATCAATCACCTTGTCCAATTGATTTGACTCGTGTTCTCCGCAAAACCTTTGGGACCAGTGTTTCCGGGAGCCTCAATAAGATAATACTGCATACAGCCATGCAGCACAGACTCTTTGGCGGTGTTCACAGGAAAGCTTCTCAAGTAGGACATTCTTGACACACGGTTCCATCATGAGAATCTGGGAGTGCCATAGAGTCTATCGTTAAAGAGACACTGCAAAGTTCTGAACCTGCAGGGTCCTTAGCAGGACCAACAGCACAAGGGTTTCCTTTTTTTCACCACTGATTTGCGGAGAGGAATATTGGGGAGTAGCGTCAGGAGATCTGCTTTGACAAGCACGTGTTCAACGTGGTTCTAGGCAAGCTTGTGTATACTTCCTTTTGCAATTCTCTGGATGTATTCTCTGGATGCATCGCAATGCAAGCTGCTGTTTATAGTTCTTGGATCTGCAGATGTGTTTAGTCCATTGAAAGGATGATTGAAACTGTCCAGTGACTCATGACTTTGTTTGCTGCTTCTTGGTGGTCGTTTTACCCCGGCAGAACCAGATTCCGGGGGAAATGGATAGACTGGATAGACTACTCGATCTCAATATGCTCTCACAACTCGTTTCACCCAGTTGTCCGCTCCTCAGTCACCTTAGGCCCTGCTTGCCCTGCTTGCCCTGCTTACAAAGCCGCCTATCACCTGTTTTTCTGAGTTTAGGCACCGCCTAGAGCGTCAAGCAAACACATGCGCGAATACATATCAAACATCTACAGCCACTGCTAAGGTTCAGCGACAGCAACGCCCGTTGATCGCCATGTGTAGATCTGTGCCAAGCCAGCAGAGCAAGAAGTTTGAGCTATGCTGCACGGCTTGCCAACAGTTCTGAAAATGGGAGTGGACCAAACATGGAGATCAACCACTGCACGTCATCTCCTTTCCTCCGTTTCAATTTAATTGTTAAACTGCACTTGATTTGACTGGTTTCCATGGCCCTTTCAGAACGGGCACCATGCAGCAGATGAAGGGCAAGCTCCATCTTGAGAGTTGCTAAGTTCTTGTTTTCCAGTTCCTGATGTTTCCCAGTTGTCTCAGTGCTGCTTCAGCAATACTTTGTCGAAACAGCTCAGTGCACGTAGCGTAGACGTAGCAGTGATTTGTATCCTGATGACTCACTTGGCCCTGAGGCAACCACTGCTGGGAACGTAGGAACGCCAGCCACAAAAGCCACAAATAGCTTTGTTTATCTTTTCTGGCTTTGTTATGCTTTGTTTTTTGTTCATTTCAGAAAGTGTGATCAGATAAGATGGACATGCCAATACCACAATTTTAGTCCAGAGAATGGCATGTATTTTCTTTGTTTGTCCGATTAGCTTCAGAATTTTGGCCTTTGTGACTGTTCCCCCGCTCGGGTTGGTTTGGCGCATTGATCGCGACGTCGCGACGGGAGGGCGTGGTCTCACCTGGATGTCTGCCATCTGACCTTTGCACTAGAGCGAAGGCGGATCTCAGCAGACACAAAAGTCAAAGTGGTGGTTTCATGTGGAGTATATCATCCCAATGGGATTCCATTCCCCCAATGGCCCAATGGCAAAATTTGGGTGATGATCCTGACTTTCAGATTAGATTGATTAGATACAATACTGGGCAGGGTTGAAACGTTGAAACCTCCGACCACAATGCTCGTGACAGGTGGCTTAACGAAGGCTCCGAGCCTTTACAACTAGTAGCTCCCAAGATAACATAACATGGCCATAACTGTTAAGTCACTTGAATACATCACAAAGATTCACAAAGCTGTTTCCAACAGCTTCATTTCTGAGTCCTGCCGGAAAGCTTCGCTTCACCTGGCTCGGCTCGTTGTTTTCCGACTCCAAACCAGAAACCGCAGATGCAGGACACTTTCTTCTGCCAGCACTGGCAACATCTACATATATGTTCAGTATATTATAATTAGATATACATATATTTATATATTATAATTACACTAATGTATATATATATATGTATACATATGATGTATATTAATGTATTATATATATATATATATAGACATTATATTTTGCTTCTTGCTTCCTGCTGGGAGCTTGCGTAGAGCAAGTAAATGTGTTGTCGAAGATACCTATACTCATCAGTCATCAGTATGTTAGGAGAAAGTCACAGCTGCTGGAATTGTGCGGGACTTGCGGATATATCCCGGTATTGAAAGTCACATGATGAAAATTAGGGCTCTGAAAGTTTTGGGTGAACTCCAAATAAGTTTGTGCCTAGCAATGACTATTGGCAAGAAGCATCATCCTCAAAATCAGACCGGGCGAAAACCCATGCCAAGCCATAAATGCATTGTCATGAAATTTATTGATTTTTGTTCCAATTGGGTCAATCTGCGCAGATTGGCCACGATTTTATACCCGCCCAAACAATTGCAGCCTCTCGGAGCGGAAGACAAAACAAGCGCAGCTTTCCTTTCGCCAGCTTCGTGTGGCGTGGATTCGAAGCCCAAGAAAGCCAGCTCTGGGCGAGTAATCGCACAAATTCCCACCAGCCAAACTCAACGGGTTTACCCAAAAAGATCCAAAAATGGCATTGATAAATTTGATAAACAATTGGATTTTGGGGCCAATTTGGGAAACTCACAGTGTGTTTGCTCTGTGCTTGACACCTTGGGTTTCACCTTGTTTCAATGCCCTCGTCGAACGCAACGCTGGCGGCTATGCTGGCGTGGTCGCCGAGACTGACCATGAAAAGAGGGCCGTCCTCGGTGATTCGTCTGGCATAGCAGTCGATGCCGGGTCACGGGAGATCCAAATTGGCTGAGGGGCGTTTCTCACCGAAACAAGCAAAAAGTATCAAAAAGCTATCTTCGTTGACCAGTCTGAAGAAATTAGATTCAGACAACTGGTCGCAGCCTTTTCAAAATCTATGATTCTATGATTCTGAAACCTTTTGTAGCATGAATTGGATGCAAGTGAAAATAAGACGCATTTCAGCTTGAGACACACTCCGGAGTTCCGTGTTGGCCAATGAATGGGTTTTTAAAGCTGCCTCAAAGAATTATGCGAAATTCATTTGCAGATTCATGGAGTCATCATGGAGACTCCGAAAGGAATACAACATAATACAACATAATTCGGGTACATTGTGGCAGCTCTCATTTCTTGGCAGGAGTCTTTCGATCGTCCCATCCGCACAGATGTTTCAATCAGTTTCTGTTTGGGGAGAGGTGGAACATGATGGAACTAGACTTAGACTTGGGCGACTGCCAGAGATCATGCAGAATATATTTCTTATTCCACCTTTCAACACCTTGGATGCTGGATGCTGAAGATTTCACCATATTTAATGACATTCTATACCATTGCAAGCCCAGAACCCCACATCTTAGCATGTGCAAAGTGGGCTTTGCGAGCTGGAGCTGCGGCAAGTGCCAGCGCATACATCAAGGACTAGTAGGTGAAGCTGGAAACACAGATTTGTTTTATGAATTAATTCAACAATTCAACTGTTTGTTTTGTTTTTTTCATATTCCTGCTGGAATGATTGGAATATATTGGAATGCACTTTGAGAGACTACTGTATCTGATCCCGTATTGTTGTTCCCTGGAAGATCTGGAAGCTTTGGGCAATTTCATGATCTTCGAATCGGTGGCATTTGCCAAGGCTTGGGCCTTCCAGCGATTGTCCAAGGAATGTTTGAGAGCAGACGTCCTGGAGAGCCAAGGGCGCTGACCCACAAAGGCCACATCACCACCCGGCATCACTCGGCATCACGGGCCCGTGGTTCTCCAGTGGCCAATTCGTGAAGGCGGTCTCACCGTCCAAATGCCTTCAATCCAGCCTCAGAATGTTGCGACGCGCGCGTTCTCGATGGTTTTGGCCAAGTTACTATAGATGTTTATTTGATGTTGTGGTTTCAGATGGTTTCCGATTTTTCAGATGAGGATGGAAGTTGCATCGTTTGGGGCTAAAAATTGCTGAGATTCACCTTGTTTCACTGAAGGGTTTCACAAATTGTGTTGCCGAGGCTCTGCCCCTCATTGCCCGGCTTCGCGAGGGGCCCTTCGCGTGATGCAAAGATCTCACCTCTCTTGGAAAGAGCGAAATGCCGTACGCAGTTGGATCGCTAGGATAGGCAAACATTATGTGCTGGCTTGAAAAATCCAGCAGTCCGATTGGCTTGTACCAGACTTACTACGTGCTCAAATGGATTTGCCGGGCACACCCCCACACCCAGACATGCCCAAAGACAACAAGTGCTGTCGCATTTGAGCACTGTGGCAAGCTGGTTTTGGAGCAGGCGCCGTTTTAGGATCTGTTTGCTGCTTTCTGGAACGAGCACTGCTGTGTCTCTTGCAAGTGCCACGTTCTCGTGGCGGCCAGTTTTACCCAATGGGTGCTGGAGAGGGGCCCTGAGGTGTTTCCACTTCAGGTTGCTCTGCCTCCGTGTTGGCTTGCATCAATGACAGGTCCGCAACATGGACCCTCAGAACCTTGCCCAGTGTACTGATGGTCCAGGCAAGGTCAGAGAAAATGGCCGGGCGGTGGCATTGCTATGGCTGGCCAGTGTTGCTGCATGCCAGTCGTATCTCCATGTATCTCCCAATCAAGAAGTCTCTTGGAAGTAAGCCTGGAGTTGGATAGAACCCTTTTTTCTGCCATAAGAATTTGGAATGGAAACTATATATATATACACACACATATAGCACATTGTGACACCAGTGGCATGTGTTGTTGCCTTGTAATTCTGCTGGAAAGTCGTTTTGAGAGCTTAAGATGACTCCTAAAAGGATTTCCTTGAAGGAAAGCAGCAGTGGTTTGTTGCCTCGATAAGTGTCCCCCTCTTTTATGAAGCAAAGGTTCTACTTTCTGTTCCATGCTTGCATGGTAACGAGGAGTGCCGACCATGGGTGCAGCATTCCACTGGTGGCCGACCATGGTGGTTTTCATCGTGCCTCAGAGGGCTGGACGACATACCTTTGCCAATGGTGGAGAGAATAGACTGTCTGGTTTTCTGAGCCCAGCTGTGCAGGAAGGGGGGGCTCTCCAGTCACCGCGTCCCAATGGTAGACATTGCAATGCCACTGGGGCGAAGTGCTGTGAAATTGTGGTGATCTGGTGATGACATTGAACTCAGCACCTTGTTTTTTTCTGATGTTTTCGGTGAGCCTCCTTTGCTTCGTGCAGTTGATCTTGGCATGTTTTGAACTTTTTGGAAGATCAAAGTGTGACAGGAAACAGTAGAGACTAATTTATTCACTTGTTGTGCCAGTGCCATGTTCTCTTAAGCAGCTGGGAGGAAAGTGTTGCGTTCAGAAGCTGCAAGCTAACAATATTGTGCGTCTGCTGTCTGTTTGTGGGCATCTATCTTGGGCCAATAGAGCTCAAGACAAAGCAGAGGAGATTGGAAGAATGAAGAAATCTGAAGTAAATTTGCAGATCCAGATCCAGATAGATCCAGTACACCTGTAGATTCACGTAGGTTAACGTAGGCCACTATAGGTTCGCTGACGTATTTTTTTCGCCAGCAAATCTGTGACCTTGAAAGACAAAGTTTGCCGGCTTCTTAGGGTGTATGCATTCCGGCTCGTTGATGGTGGAAGAGGTGTTCGACACTAATGACAGATTTCTTGGGCTTGCAATGCTTTTAGGGCACACAATTGTGTGCAAGGATGTGTTGATGGTACAGCTACACAGCTCTTTGATGAAACAGTCTCCTCGGCAGCAGAAAATTATCAACTGCCTCGCCTGAGTGCAGTGTGAAAATCACCAGGACCCTGTTCCAACAGGGTCACTATCCATAAAAAAGACGAAACGATATTGCGCTTGCAGACGTGCAGGTAGTTTTGATGCGGCAAGAAATGACCTTTGCAGTCATGATCGTGTGTAGATGTGGAGGTTGTGGTCGGAGACGTCATGTGCAGGCTCCATTGGCACAATGCTTTGGACGCTCCTGGTATATTTCTTGAAGCAAACAAAGAAGGATATGGCTGATATGGCAAACACATGCCAACACATGCCAACACGTGCATCCCAAAGGCCCACTGATAGAATCACCGGGCAGAGGTAACGTTTCAAGCTTTTCAAAGAAGATGACTCAACAGCTACTAGCCGCGACTAGCCGCTACTAGTCGCTACTAGCCTCTACGAAATCAACGCAAATCTGACGCCATGTTGATGCGCAACTCAACACGGATCGAATTCCGGCTGGAGGATGCACAGGACCCGTCCAAGGCATCCCAAGACACTGTGTTCTTCTTGGTCATCGTTCACAGCTGCTGGCCAAAGCCACTAAGAAAACTATGTTATATGATGTTCGAACGAAGTTTAGAAGTCAAACTTCCAACAATATGGACAGATGGAAAAGCAGAGGTGGGAAGAGTCAGAGAAGAGAAGATAAGAAAGAAGATCAGAGAAGAGAAAGAGTCAGAGGAAAGACGATGCAGGTGCGCGAAAACGTAGCAAAGTCTGTGTTTTTCCAATGATTTGTGGCTCCGGAGGGTCGAAAAGTAGGCTCGCTAAAGGCGGGTGCGGAGCCATGTGGGGAGATGAGAGATGAACAATTGCACGCCGTTGTGGCGCGAAGCACGTTTCGAAGAAAAAACGCACAAAACACTTCAGCGTCGGAGCACTTTTGGAAGTTGAGAGGTCGAAAAAGTGCACGCCGTTGTGGCGCGAAGCACATGTCGAAGTTAAAATGTGCAAAACGCACCATGCTCGGACCACTTGTGGAAGTTGACATGTCGAAAAAGTGCACGCCGTTGTGGCGCGAAGCACATTTCGAAGTCATAATGTGCAAAGCACACCATGCTCGGACCACTTTTGGAAGTTGACATGTCGAAAAAGTGTACGCCGTTGTGGCCCGAAGCACATTTGGAAGTGAACATGGTAAAATCATCACATGCTCGGACCACTTTTGGACGTTCCGATGTCGTTTTGCGTGGCAGGCGCAAGGGATTCTGCACCTTCCCAAACGTGAGCAAAAAAAACGTGAGGGTTTTGCGGCATTTCCAAAAACGAGGATCTGCAAAGATACATTTCGCGCGGCAGGCGCAATACAAGAGACATGTTCATCAGAGATGTTAGGAGGTCAGGGCACTGATTTCCTGAGAGGGGTTGCATTTTGGAACATCAGGTCTTCAGGTTCCTAAGATGATTTTGTGTGACAGGTGCAGCACTTCGCATGACCTGGCCTCACTTTTTCGTGGCAGTCGCAGTACTTTAGACAGATAGAATGGAAAAATCGCAAATGCATTGGTATGAGGCCGTCAACTTTCCATTTTTGAAGGAAGTCTTGCAAAATTGCTTCGTTTTTGATGTTGTCAACTTCGATCAATGAGGAAGTCTCGCAGAATAGCTTCGTTTTTAACGTTGTCAAGTTCAAAACTTGAGGAAGGAAGTTTCGCAGAATTGCTGAGTATTGCGCTACAGCTACAGCTACAAATATACTACGCTACACTACACGGCACTAATTACACTACACTTCACTACTTACATCTAATTACACTACACTACACTACACTGCACTAGACTACACTACGCTACGCTACACTAAATTACACTAATTACGCTAATTACACTAATGACACTAATTACACTAACTACACTACATACAACCACTGCTACAACTACAACTACACTACATTACACAACGCTACCCTACAGTAATTACATTACATTGCGCTGCAACTACAACTGCAAGTGCAACAACAACCACCAATATATTGCACTACGCGACGCTAATTACACTACACTACACTACAACTACAGCTACACTACTTTACACCACACTACACTAGACTACACTACACTAGACTACACTAGACTACACTACACTATACCACACTACAGTCCATAACACTACAGTATAGTATAGTACACCACACTACACTACACTAATTACACCACACCACAACTACAACTGCAACTACACTACGCTAATTACACTACATTACAGCTACAGCTCCACTACATTACACTGCAACTACAACTACAACTGCAATTGCGCTACACCACACTACATCCAGCAGTTGCGGCGAGATGACCACTGCAACAATTTCAAAAAGCACAACTCCAACCACCACTCCAACCACCTTGAGGTCCATCAGTGGGCTCGCTCTGCCATCCGTGATTCACAAGAACCAAGCTCTCCTATAGGTTTCTTATTTTCGAAACTTCCGCCGCCGCCTTGTGCGGTCCTACTGGTACATGTGCAATGTAAACAAGTAAATAAAGTATATATACTCATACAATACACACATATATATATATATATTTAGTATGAATATATATTTAATATAATATGAATACATGCATGCTTGCAACTTCCTCGGGTGCAAAAAACTATTGTTCCCCACAAAATAGTTTTTTTCCTTGAGATTACGTTTCTTTTTCCAAACTGCGATTTCTGTTGATCCTGTGTTTCTCTGTTCTTCGGTGGTTTGGATACAGTTCAGTACCTACCCTGCAAGAAACCACTGGGTGGTTGATGGCGGACAGATGCGAATACTATGTCCCACTTAGCCTACTTAATTTAACCAACCCTTTTGGAAAACTAGACTTGCGGGTTGTGCCATATTGCGGATTGAGATTGAATAGCTTGCATTTTAATCAACATGAAACATGCTGATGCCAAACTATGTAGCTAGTCCAATTGAAACTGCGATTTTTGGCGGCAAAACTGCGATTTTTGCTGACGAAACTGTGATTTTTGGTCTGTTTGAAGCACTTGTTTTTTCTGATATACATTACTCTGCGGCTGTGTGGCTATTGAAACAATCCAACCAAGTCACTCAGGCGAGTCCGGCACCGCAAAAATGTTTCCGAATTTTAAGATACTGTTTTGGGTAATAGTTGTATGCCCTTTGAAGTCAAACAAGAGGCAGGCCATTGATTAAACCGACGCCACGTACTGTCGGTAACCCACGGTAGAGCTAGAAAATTCCAAACTCAAGTTTTCTCGAAACCATCATTTTTTTGAAACTCATAGTATTTTTGCAGTTTGGCTAAACAAGTAAAAAATGTACCACGAGGAAATTGCAGGTGTATATATATATATGTACTGTACAATATGAATTTATATATATATATTTACATAATATGTTTATATACAGTATATAGTATCATATGTTTATATACATACACAAAAGATAACTATGAATATATGATTGTATGCGGATGAAACCCATTTCCAGTTTCGTTGCCCCGAAGGTATGATCCGTTTTGAAAGGAATGGTCGTTTGGCATTGATGCTCCAATTGCTGAATTTTGTTAAGTTGTTCGGTACTAAGTAACCATAGGGTACCTAATCAATGCCTAAGTAGCGAACTGCCGAGCGACCAAACACCTCAGTACTCTAAGAACTTAGCTATCCAGCTAACTATCTACACACCTAGCTCAGAGTGCTACAGTAGTCACTTCATTTGCCAAACTAATCCAAACTACCTAACTACTTAGTTTCTGCCAAACTTATTCTATCCAAATTCCCATCTTCGAATTCGACCCGCTAGCTACTGCATGTGTGTAGATATACCACCCCAACATAGATATATTATATTTATAGACACATATCACATATCTATGTAACGACCCACCCGGCCGATACCATCGTCTTAACTACCAGACTGCCTGACTACACTTCCCCAGCGACCTGATTGCCCGTAGCACTGCAATGCTGATATACTAGCAGCTGAGAAGTTTGGATATGAGTTTTTTTGTCTCCCGGCAGGAGTACATCAGAACAAGAGAGGCGCAAAAACGTCCAGTTGGACAAACAGGACATACCTGCACACTTCCACCAGGCCTTCCTGGGCAGAAATGGACCACCGGATGTGTCATAAACATCAAAGTCACCTGAGAAATCCTTGATTTTTCAAGTCATTTGGCTTCGTCTGAAAACGAGCATACCCAAAGAAATGACAGGTTGACAGGGAAATCATGATTAATCAGTGGATTTTTGAGGTGCCACATTTTCAGACAAATCCATTGAAGGAGTTATCGGCAGTGAAGCCATTCCAGATGGTTGATGGAAGGGATCATCAGTTGCAAATGCATCATGAACATGATGGAGAAACACACGGGATGATTGTAGCCAGCCCACACATGTCTATACAGCATTATATTCATGATTCATGTTCGTATTTTTTTCCGCATATATCTACATCTATATCGGCATATGTATTACATATGATATGTATTACATATGTGATATTTATATCATGTATACAGAGAAAAAATTACCAGGAGTTGGCAGGTATGCCACCTTCCCATCTCCCCAAAAATGTCCCTGGCAGTCCCTGGAGCCTCACCTGCCACGTGGGAAGCTCAACGCTGCAAGGATCCATTAGACAACATGTGTTTGAAATGGAGGGAACAAATTCATCGGAATCATTGAAAAGAATCAAGAATTGCACATCAAAAACATGAAGCAAAAATCCACAGCTTTGTTTGAAAATGTCCACCCATCCCGTTCCAAGGGACGATGCAGCCGCCTTTCCGACGCCTCAGAGCTCCACAACGATGTCACCCATCGATCGAGCAGCATCGCTGGATGCGGGGGAAGTCAATGAGGCTCAGCAAAGCCGTACTGAGTCCTTGACCTTTGTTTGGAGTCCCAACGAGGAGGTGGGAGCAGTCAACTTGATATGTACATGTATATATATATATATATTGTATATGTGTATATGTATATGTGTATATATATATATATATGTATATGTGTATATGTGTATATGTGTATATGTGTGTATGTATAAATATATGTATATTATGTGTATATGTATATATGTAACCTGCGCACACATTTGATGCTACGTTGCAAGATCTTTTCTTGCATTTGCACACACACTCGGGACGTTACGTTGTAAGATCTTCTCTTGCACTGGGAACTTGGTGACAGAGATCTCCTGAAAGAAACGGGTGAATATCTGGCGAAACTCTCGTTTTGGAGCACAAAACCCTGGAAGGGTTATCACCACCATCCAAAGTTTTGTTCAACAAAATTGGCACGGCATTGTGGTGCCAGAGCGATGTTATCAAAATCGTGGGACGGTGAAAGGCCGGCGGGATGTATATGTACATGATAATGTAAATAGTGTATGTGTATATGTATATGGTACACATGTATACCTATATATATAGTACATTTGCATATATATATAATTATATACATACATATACACATACATATGTACATCCATTACATATGTGTGTATATATATACATACATGTTTCAATATGTATATGCATACACATATAGATACATACATGCATTGCATTGCATTGCATTGCATTGCATTGCATTGCATTGCATTGCATTGCATTGCATTGCATTGCATTGCATTGCATTGCATTTCACACACACATATGTATCTATATATATACACATAGGCATGTGAACTCACTGTGGTTCTGTAAATAGCGGGAAATCCAAATTGAGATGACGTCGCCATTTTCTGCAAGATGTGGCAGGTAGTGATTCATCCTAGAAGATAATTCCCGTGCCCCCATGCATCTTTGACTGAGGCTCCGCCGCAGCGTGAAATGTCTGAGTCAGTGTCTGATCGATTTCAAGCGGAGGTCATGGGTGGCATTGGGGGATGAACAGCAGGAAGTCACAGTAGAGTCTATTTTGAGTCTATCTAAATATTTTGGAAACTATATACTCTACAAATGCATTGTTATCCTCACTTGTTCCCCACCTGCCAGGTGAGGGTCTCTAGCTTCTCTCAGAGTTACTTCCTTCCTTCCCTCCTTAATTTCTTCCCTCCCTCCTTCCTTCCCCAACAGCGAACTCCAGATCGCAGTGGGCACTGCCGGACCCCAACTGCAAACTCCAAATCACAGCAAGCATTGCCGGACTTCAACTGCGAACTCCAGATCGCAGTGGGCACTTCCGTGCAAACTCCAGAGTGTAGTGGGTAGTGCCGGACTTCAACCGCGAGCTCCACATTTCAGGGCACTGCCGGACCTCAACCGCGAGCGGCAGATCTCAGTGGACACTGCCGGACCTCAAGTGCGAGTTCCAGATCTCAGTGGGCACTGCCCGACCTCAACCGCGAGCTCTAGATCTCAGCGGGCCTCAAGTGCGAGTTCTCATTCTCAGGAATCACTGCAGATCTCAGTGGGAACTGCCCGCTGAGATCTGGCGCTTGCGGTTGAGGTCTGGCAGTGCCCATGTCAATCACATCAGAGAGAATGGCAGAACAAATGCCAGAGTAAATGTCAGAATAGATGCCAGATAGAATGCCAAAATAGGATACTAAATAGAGTGCCAGAATAGATGCCAAAAAAAATTGAAAGAATGTCAGAATAGATGCCAGGTGGAATGCCAGAAATAGTGTCAACATACATGCCAGAAAGAATCTCAGAGTATGTGCCAGAAAGAATGTCAGAATATATATATATATATTATGTATATATATATATGTATCCAGTTTACACTTCCAGATGGTATGTCAGAAACCATGTCAGAATAATTGTCAGGGTGGAGATCGCTTGATTTTTTTTGACAACGTGGCTGAAACTGTTGGGTTGATGCATTTTATCCTTTCACTTCACCCACTTTTCGCAAACGACGCATGTCAGAGGTAGAGCAGCTTGCAGTCCTTGGGATTGATGAGGAGGACGCCAGACGCGCTTTGCGGGCAACAGGCGCTAAGATTGCCATTTTGCTGCAATCTTAAATTTTTTTAAAAATATCTTATAGATCAGATTCCTGTTTTGCACTGAGAACCATGAAAAAAACTTCAGCTTCGCCAGGGGGTGACCTGGAAGCAGCTGCAGATCGTCTCCTGCTGTAGCTGCGAACAAGTCGTTGCGAGCGGAAAGGGAAAATTTCCAGTCGCAGAGGAAACACTGGAATTCCACTGGACGCCAGACTTGGCTCCAATCTTTGCAAAATTAGATGTGAATTTCCCTCAGACTTTTGGATCGTTTGACTTGCGTCATTGATGTCATTTGTGTCCAGTGCGAAGTAGTGCTCAAACTATTATTATTCCTATTAATATTATTTTTAATTTCCCAGCAGCCGCCAGCAACCCCCAGCAACCCCCAGCAACCTCCAGCAACCTCCAGCAAACCCCAAGCAGCCCCCAGCAGCCCCCGCAGTCCCCCACAGCCCCCCACAGCCCCCAACAGCCCCAGCACACATTAGCAACCAACTTCCTAACCAGCAGACCTTCACACAGCCACTGCCCCATCAACGAAAGGTCATAGACAGAAAAGGGGTCCCTTCATCCTTGATCATCCTTCTGCATCTGGCGGGGGGCTCGATAGACTGCATGGGTCGCGGCTCGTGTCCAGAAAATGGCAGAGGTAGAGGAACCACCCGCCAAGAGGGCAAGGACTGGAGACACAGCGAGCGATGATGAGCTGAACCAATTCAGCCTGGAAGATCTCTTCGGGGACGATGCGACTCACTCCGGTCTTGACAAGGCACAGAATTCAGATCTGAAAACCATAGCTGTTTGGAGATTCATTTGGATTTATTGATGTATTTATATAATAGGTAGCTGGCTGATTCGTAGAAGTTGCACGCATAATTACACGTGATTCACTAGAAGTATCCTGACACACGACTGCTACGCAAGTAGCAACTTTGATCAACGTTGCAGGTGCTTGCTGAACACATGGCCGATCAATCCGACGTGGAGTCCCACTATTCCAATGTGGAGTCCCACCAGGAATTCGTCGTTGATGATCCTGATAGGCCTCCAGCAGATGAAACAGCATATGGTCTGAACCCTGTCAAGCTCAGTTTGGTGACTGACATTTTCGGTGATCTTTCTGTCTTGAAGCCCTTGGGTGATATTGATGGAGGTGATGAGCAGCCTGTGGATGCTTCAGTTCATGCCAGTCTTGGGGCTGCTGAAGCAGCAGTTGCAGAATCATTGGCAAAGCATCAAGCTGCCTCTGACATCAAAGATGAATCCCAGAGCCAGGCCTTGCCAGCCCTACCTTTGGAGGACGCTTTGGATCCAGATGTTCTGGAGAAGTCCTATCAACTTCCCAAAGACCAAGCCATAGCCCGAAGTCAACAGCCTGAACGATGGCTGCAGGCTTATGGCAGTGATGGCCAAAATCTACCCCGGAAGTCTGATGAGGAGTATCAAAATGAAGCCCGATGGATGTACAACCAGGTCTTCAAAGCGAGAAGCTATGATAGACCTTCAACTGAAAATGCCATTATCCGCGTGCTCTCTACTTTGCACGAATCGAAGTTTGAGCTCATCTACATAGTCGAACATGTCTACTGGAAAATTGGAAAATCTCTCACCAAAGAGGATGTTTGGAAGATTCAGGACTGTTTAGCAACAATTCTGCGGTGATTTTCTCCGAGGAGTTCCTAAAATAGTCGACCCCAAGTTATCATCCAAGTATATCCAAGTGATATTTCATGATATTTCTCATTTTGACATGCGGGAACCAATGGTTTTTGGATTCTAAGAACCTGGCATTTTGAACGAAACATGACTCATGCCATGGCAGGAGTACGATCTGCTGTGGCAACCCATTTGGACTCGCTACATGCTGCTGGTCGAATGGGTTATGGAGCTTGAACGCCACCGAGTTGCGGTGCCGGAGCACATCAAAGAGAAGGTGAATCGTAAGGTCAGCATGACATGGATCATATGGATCTGGCCGAGGGTCTATTGCTTTTGGATATTTTTTGAAACCGAAACAACACTTGAAGCGGGTATCCATGGGTATCCCATTCTCATCACAACTCATCATGGGTCCAACGCACATGTTCTATCTCTTTCTGCAATCCTGGCTTTGACTGGATCCTACCAGTTTGGCTACACATTCAGCTGGCCATGCTGGCCAACACCCCTCGTGCATTTCATGGTCATATAACTTGTGCCGACAATCGGTGACTTATAATGGAGCTTATCGAAAAGAAGAAACCGCCAGCTGAAACCTTGCTGGGGACCGGAATGCTAGTCTTCCAGTATGTTCTTCACCGTGACAGCCAGTTGAAGCCTGCATGTTGAGCCACATGGATCCACATGGTGAACACATGGTGAACACATGGTGAACACTGGCACGCCATTTTCAAACTCAGATATTCCCCTCTGAAAGGTTTGGCAGCAAGCAGATTCAGAAGAATCTCAGCGAGACGCGCACGACTGGCGCCTCTGGCATGACTGAAAAACCCGCCATGACGAACCATGACGAACCAATGTAACCAATGGACTACAACAAAAATAACCTCTTATAACATGTAAGTTCCACTCATAAGTGGTCATATCATGTCATATCACCATAGTTGTAGGGATCATATCCCCACACCCGGTGTCATTTCCATGGTTATTGGCACCTGCGCCAGGCTAAGATCCATGCATCCAACATTTGCCCCCAGGGCAGAGTTGGGCACCAAGGGATGTTTGCACATCTTCGTTAAGTGAATCTATTTGCAACATTGGCTGCAACCCATTTGCAGTTTGTGTTCGTTTATTTGGATGTATTTGGATGTATTTGGATGATTTGGATGCTTGAAGGTGTGACAGGCTGTAGCTATCTGTAGCTAGACAAGGATCTTCTGGATGGGGCTGCAGAAAAGGCTCTTCGGAACAATGTCATGACGAGGTCGTTGCAAAGCACAGTTTCTTCAGTGGACGCTGTCATGAAGATGACTAGGAGAGGGACGCTCTGTCACGCGATGCGTTTTGACCGGCCGAGTTTCCATGAGTTTCTGCAATCATCTCTTTAAAACCTTTAAATCCAGATAATCCCCACTATCTCCCCATTATACCACCATTTTTGATCATTCTTGTAGGTTTATACCACCATTTTTAGAAGGTTAAACATGGTTAAATCACTCCATTGGGTGCAGGAGATCCAAATTCGATGAGAAACTGGGCATCGCAGAGTTCGCTCCTCAGAGGGCTGATAGTTTTAGAATGTTTTACACATCCCTACCCTCTTAAAAATGAAATTTACTTTACAATTCCATTTGAGGGGTTGGATCACTATCCCAGGGTTTCCAAGCAAAAAAAATGGAATTCGACAGCTTGGTTTTGTCCACCCCCGCCCTCCCCCTCTACAGGGGTAGGGATTTTTACACCATTTTCAGACATTGGAACAATTGCTATCAGTTCTTGAGCAGCTTTCCCATTAATTCCCAATCACATTGAGGTTGCAAAACGCGCGCTATTTGAATTTCAAAAAAGCAGCCACTTGCAGCCACTTGCAGCCACTCGAGTGGCCGCAAGTGGCCGCAAGTGGCCGCTAGGGCCTGGCAGCCACTTGCAGCCACTCGCAGCCACTCGCAGCCACTCGAGTGGCCGCAAGTGGCCGCAAGTGGCCGCTGGGGGTCTCTAGAACAAGTGCTGGCAGCCACTTGCAGCCACTCGCAGCCACTCGCAGCCACTCGCAGACGCTTGCAGCCACTTGCAGCCACTTGCAGCCACTCGAGTGGCCGCAAGTGGCCGCAAGTGGCCGCTAGGGGGCCGCAAGTGGCCGCTAGGAGTCTCTAGAACAACTGCATGGCAGCCACTTGCAGCCACTCGAGTGGCCGCAAGTGGCCGCAAGTGGCCGCTAGGAGTCTCTAGAACAACTGCATGGCAGCCACTTGCAGCCACTTGCAGCCACTCGAGTGGCCGCAAGTGGCCGCGAGTGGCTGCGAGTGGCCGCAGGCAGCTGTCGGAGCAAGTGGCTGCAAGTGTCCGCAAGTGGCTGCTTGGATTGCAAACCCCTGTCCGGAGGGCCACGTTCCTCAAAACTTGAAAAAAATCAATTTTCCTGCAAACAGGATTTTTTTCAAGTTTGCCTTGCAACATCTAAAGGAAGGCAGTAACGCAAAAGGAGGCCAGAGGTGAAACGAAAGGAAGACGTTAACGCAAAAGAAAGACCAGAGGTGAAACGAAAGGAAGACGTTAACGCAAAAGGAAGGCCAGAGGTGAAACGAAAGGACGACAGTAACGCAAAAAAAAGGCACCAGGTGAAACGAAAGGAAGACAGTAACGCAAAAAAAAAAGGCACCAGGTGAAACGAAAGGAAGGCGGTAACGCAAAAAAAAAGACCAGAGGTGAAACGAAAGGAAGGCGGTAACGCAAAAGAAAGGCCAGAGGTGAAACGAAAGGAAAGCGGTAACGCAAAGAAAGACCAGAGGTGAAACGAAAGGAAACCGGTAACGCAAAAAAAAAGACCAGAGGTGAAACGAAAGGAAGGCGGTAACGCAAAAGAAAGGCCAGAGGTGAAACGAAAGAAGACGTTAACGCAAAAGAAAGACCAGAGGTGAAACGAAAGGAAACCGGTAACGCAAAAAAAAAGACCAGAGGTGAAACGAAAGGAAGGCGGTAACGCAAAAGAAAGGCCAGAGGTGAAACGAAAGGAAGACGTTAACGCAAAAGAAAGACCAGAGGTGAAACGAAAGGAAACCGGTAACGCAAAGAAAGACCAGAGGTGAAACGAAAGGAAAGCGGTAACGCGAAAGAAAGGCCAGAGGTGAAACGAAAGGAAACCGGTAACGCAAAAAAAAAGACCAGAGGTGAAACGAAAGGAAGGCGGTAACGCAAAAGAAAGGCCAGAGGTGAAACGAAAGGAAAGCGGTAACGCAAAGAAAGACCAGAGGTGAAACGAAAGGAAACCGGTAACGCAAAAAAAAAGACCAGAGGTGAAACGAAAGGAAGGCGGTAACGCAAAAGAAAGGCCAGAGGTGAAACGAAAGGAAGACGTTAACGCAAAAGAAAGACCAGAGGTGAAACGAAAGGAAACCGGTAACGCAAAGAAAGACCAGAGGTGAAACGAAAGGAAAGCGGTAACGCGAAAGAAAGGCCAGAGGTGAAACGAAAGGAAGACGTTAACGCAAAAAAAGACCAGAGGTGAAACGAAAGGAAGACAGTAACGCAAAAAAAGGCACCAGGTGAAACGAAAGGAAGGCGGTAACGCAAAAAGAAGACCAGAGGTGAAACGAAAGGAAGGCAGTAACGCAAAAGAAAGGCCAGAGGTGAAACGAAAGGAAGACGTTAACGCAAAAGAAAGACCAGAGGTGAAACGAAAGGAAGACGGTAACGCAAAAGGAAGGCCAGAGGTGAAACGAAAGGAAGAAACGAAAGTAACGCAAAAAAAGGCCAGAGGTGAAACGAAAGGAAGACGGTAACGCAAAAAAGGCCAGAGGTGAAACGAAAGGAAGACGGTAACGCAAAAAAAAGGCACCAGGTGAAACGAAAGGAAGACGTTAACGCAAAAGAAAGGCCAGAGGTGAAACGAAAGGAAGACGGTAACGCAAAAAAAAGGCCAGAGGTGAAACGAAAGGAAGACGTTAACGCAAAAGAAAGGCCAGAGGTGAAACGAAAGGAAGACGTTAACGCAAAAGAAAGGCCAGAGGTGAAACGAAAGGAAGACGTTAACGCAAAAAAAGACCAGAGGTGAAACGAAAGGAAAGCGGTAACGCAACAGATAGGCCAGAGGTGAAACGAAAGGAAACCGGTAACGCAAAAAAAAGGCACCAGGTGAAACGAAAGGAAGACGTGAACGCAAAAGAAAGGCCAGAGGTGAAACGAAAGGAAGACGGTAACGCAAAAAAAAGGCCAGAGGTGAAACGAAAGGAAGACGTTAACGCAAAAGGAAGACCGGAGGTGACGAACAAAACATATGGACTTTTTCTTTCCAATGGCTCCGATGGGCCGTATAATGGGCCTCCAATGGCTCCGATGGCCGATCTCGTCGCGGAGCACAGTCCAAGAGTTTAGCTTGAACATGTGCAATGCGGTTGCCTTGTTTCATTCAGTTCCCGCCCGGTTTCTTTCATTTTCGACTAGTGTGAGGCAGCCAGTCCTAGCGGTTTGTGCAGGCCGTATAATGATCAGCACTTCCGCTGCCCAGGGTCCTCAAATACATTGGTGATGAAAAACCCATTGGTAGAGGCCCCAAGAAATACAGAATTAGAATGCATTCGATAGGATTAGAATAATATGGTCTAATGAAGTTTACTGTTGATATACATATTTGGGATTGTTGTAAATTGTTGTGTTTTCCCTACCAGCGCCGGAACTTCTACGGGAAGTTCCAAGCGGAGAAACAACTTGTTTCGGCTGTGGCTTGCACGGGAACCAACGCTGTTCAAAGTTTGCTTGGTGGTGACACAGGCATTGTCTTGGCGATTTTTGGGCTTAAGACTACACAAGCGGGTAGGTGCAGCAAAGTTAATGTGGATTGAAGACCGATCAGCGCACTTTGTCATGACACTAAGGGTTGATCGATGTGCTACAGGAAGCATCGAATTTGGTGACGTCAATATCGAAAACCAGGATCTCACAGTACACGTCGCATTCCTGTCCCTGTGCACCGGGTGCATCCCAATACCCTGAACCGGAATTCGGCCTGCGAGCACCTGCACGTTTGGCCTGTCTTCAAAAGTTGCAATCTCAGCTAGGTGGAACAGGTACAGCATTTTTTTGCACGAAAAGGGCAAAGTAACGCGATAGGGTCTTCATGCTCCTGATGCGAAGTCGAGGAGCTTATAGAGCCTACAGAATTCTTGCAAGCCATAGAACCGAAAATGAGTAGACTGGTGACTGGATTAGATTGTTTCAAACTGTGTCAAAAGTTTCCCATGTTTTGCTGAATTTTCTCAGGAATTGGACCGCTAGCGGGACCTCCTTTGACCTGCCTACTGCTTAGATGCAGCATGACTAGAAGTCGAATCGATTCAGCTTTGACTTTTGACTCATTTTTCTAGCGGATCGGGCATCCAGGCTGGGTATGCACATAGGAACTCTGTGCATCCCTTTGCCAAGAATCAACTCAGTCTTATATAGTGCACGTGCCTGTCAACATGCCTTTGATTCGTTCATATATCTCTTTCAGTGTACTAGATTTGTTCATATGTCTTTGCTTGTCTTTGTGTAGTGTTGTGTTTGTGCTGCATAGTCTATTTGAACTTGGAGTTAAGGATAATAGTCATGCAGGAGTCATTGCCAAGCTTTGAGCGCCTGGAGATTCACAGCAGCTTCACTGGACCTAAGATGGGAACCAGCGGTGTCTTTCCACCCGTGCTCATTTAAAGTGTTTCTGTCTCTAATCTTTCATTTTGGCACATTCAAGTCGTGTTTGCAGGATCAGGGGCGAAGATTCGCAGGGAAAACTTCGAAGTTTGCCACAGGACCTTGATGATTCTTCTCAATTTGGTGGTAAAACACCATGTG